AAGCAGTGGATTGTTACAAATGGAGTTCAGTCAAACTGGAATAATGTCACAAGTGAGGTACCTCAGGGCTCAATCTTAGGACCTTTTCTCATTTTGATTTACATCAATGACATAGATGAAGGGATAGTCAATAAATTACTTAAATTTGCAGATGATATTAAGGTCTTGGGTGTTGCTAGATGTGAAGAGGATGCTGCTGATTTACAAAAGGATTTAGATCATTTAGTGAGTTGAGCAAATAAATGGCAGATGGGTTTTAATTATAATAAATGCAAGATAATGCATGTGGGTTATCATAATTTGAATTATAAGTATAATTTGGGTGTGAATAACCATAACAGTGGCATGCAGGAAAGGGATCTTGTTGTAATAGTCGATCAGTCTCTAAAGCCATCCAAGCAGTGTGCTGTTGCTAGTTGTATGGCAAACAGGATTTTAGGTTTTATTTACAGAAATATTGAATACAAGTCTAAAGAGGTTATACTTTCATTGTATAGGTCACTGGTTAGGCCAAATTTGAAGTATTGTGTTCAATCTTGGGAATAGTACTAGTAGGACTAGGGGACACAAATATAAATATTGGCCGGGTTGAGTCATCTTCAGCCAAGACAGTTTCATTTTTCTGACAGGGTGGTTGGCCTTTGGAATGGGTTGCCTTCGAATGTTGTAGAAGCAGTAAATTTAAGTAAGTTTAAGAAAAAGCTTGATAACTATACGAATGATAAGGGCTGGCTTAAATATATATATTTTTTAATTATTTTAATCTAGTTTATTGGATGGAACAGTCGAGATGGGTCAATACTGGTAATAGATCCCATGTTGTCCCAAAACATTGTTATTTTAAATATAGAATCTAAGTTTAACAGAGACTTTGTGTTTATCTGTAGAGTTTGAAGTGCTTGCTGCGGTCACCGTTAGTTCGAGTGTATCTAGAACACTGCCAATCTTCCGAAGAAAAAAAGTGCGCCCAGGAAACTGGTCTTCAAGCACAGATCATTGTAGTTAGGGTTAAAAATAGACCCGGTGCTTCAGCAATTCCTATTCCTTACGGATATATGGTGGCTCCCCCTGCCAAGGTACAGAAATGCCAACAAATTCGAAAAATAAGAAGCTACTTAGCTGACAATGAAGTAAGTATATTAGGAACTGTTTACGTTTCTTTTAACTCCACTCAACATATACAATACATAAATTTCGATTTTTATTTGTAACAGACAATACATCATGAATTAATCACAATAATATATTGTATAAGAAAACAAATGATCAAATGGTCGACTTAGATACCTAATATTAGATATATATATATATATATATATATAT